CGCAGGAAGTCCTGATGGGGGGGGGGGGGGGGGGGGAAGCTGCCCTCATGGGGTTCCTTGAAGACACAACAGTGGTGTTGGGCCACAAGGTAAGCTGCAGTAAAAGGGAAGATTTGGGCTTAGTACCTGGCGCCTCAGGAACTGGGACAGTTGATGGCTGAGATGATTTAAACACCTTGCTGTAATTTCATCTGTGCAATGTTTTGATCTGATAGGCTGTAAAGATATAATGGTTTGCAATCTACAGTCCTCTAATTGTAACCTGCTTTTCCCCTTTGGGGCACAGGATCTGGACAATCTGATCCAGGATATGGACAGTGATGAAAACAAGGTGAGTAAAGTGTAATGGGAAACCCTTAACCTGCAGTGAGAACGCTGAGCCTGGAAACCACAGCTTCTCAAGATTGAGCTTAGATACCTTGTAAGTGCCTGATCTCATCTCTTCTCCCCAACACTGGGAGTGAAGTGTCCCCAAAAGTTAGAGACCCTTAGGTCTCTGAGAGCTACTGTGTGGGACTTAAAGGCAATGCAAAGATTCAGTTGGTTCTTTTTGGTTCTTCCTACCTATTTTCTCATAGATGCACTTAATTTCCCAGTGGCAGCAGGCAGCTGATGGGGATCTATGTGTATCTATGGAGACCAGCATTGAGTTCATTATTATTCCAGTGTTATATTATTGCCATTGTGGTAGGCACACACCGTCCTTTATCTCATCGATTTGGTAATTTCTCTTCTTTGTAGACTATGCTAAGCCTGAAATACATGGCTTCTGTTAATTATATACACTGCACTTCTCTACTGCCTTCAGTATAAGACTCTCAAATAATTTTACATTCACAAATAGGTAAATAGATTCTATTCCCATTTTACAGATGGCAAAACTGAGGCCCAGGGGTCACGTGACTTTCCAGGGTCACATGCAAATCAATGGCAGAGCTGGAACTTGAACCGAGGAGTCCTGATTCCCACTCTCCTGCTCTGACCACCAGACATGCTGTTCTACATAGGCTGAGAAATTGGATTTGATTTCTGTCACTGCAATAAGTTCAATGCTACAGTGACCCTAATGTGAACCTTTGAAAGAACTAGGCCATGGGCAGAATGCCTCTGTGAATCTTTTCTGTTCAGATATGGAGGTTTTCAAGCATGAACTACACATGCAAGAAGCTGATTTTGGTTCCATGATGATCAGCATCCAAGTTCTAAAAGCCAGTGACAGACGCTTAAATTTTAGAAAGTCTAATGCACTGGCCCTTTGTAGTACACTTCTTATAGCAGAACCTGGCCTCTGCTACATCATATCCTCTGCATCACAATTCACACCCTCTCTAAATAGTACAGCCTACTGAACTAGATTTCCCAATGGGCCCTCACCTATACCTGTGTGTTAGAACTCAGTCTGGGAAGCTGTGGCGAACAACCGCTTTTCTTTATTGCTTCAGATCCAAGCCTACCTGAAGTGCAACAAGCTGCGTTCTGCCTACCTGGTCTCAGTGAGACAAGAGAATACCAGAGCCGTGGAGCTGGTGCAGCATGTGCGGCAGTTGGCCGAGAACAGCGGGGAAGACGTTGTGCAGGCCATCTGTGCCCAGTGGCTTTCAGTGCACCAGCCCAAACAAAAAAGCTGGTTCACCCAGACCACTAGGAAATAACTTCCAGGCACCAACATCCAAAAAGGGAAGACTTCATATGGCACAGAGAAGAGGAGCTCAGCGATCTCTCAGTGACAAGCAGGAGCTGCTAGAGTGCCTGTAGCTAAAGGGAAGGAATTTACTTCATACAAGTGCCAATCCTGTGTTCTAATGACCAACAATCTCTACCTCAGGGTGTTTTCTGTGTGTTTTAAGCCTGACCAAGCAAGACTAAGGATTATGGAGAAACGCACTTTTCTGCTCTTTCATAGAGGCATTGAACTCTTTTGCAATGGGTTTGTTTTAACCCAGTAAACCTGTGTATAGTTGATGACCAAATCCCATCCCATCTCAGCTCAGTGTAGGTTGAAACCTAAATCTCTGTGATTTCTATTAGCCAGAGCCATTCTATAATGAATCTATCATTGCAAAGGTTGAAGAGAGTTTTTGTTTCCATTTACATAGACTTGGGACTGAACTTTTGAGGTGACTTTTTAAAGATCTATACTAATTATCACCAAGTTTTTTACACTAGCACAGTATGTGCAAATCCTTTAAGTTGGTTTGAAAGGCAATGGCTAGTTGTATATGGCAGGTGTCTCTATGCTGAAATCACTGGCAAGTGTTTGCCTGCTGCTTGGGCCCTTGGATGGATGGATGTAATTGGAACGGGATGCACTACAAAGGGGAGACAAAGGGAAACCCTTAAAATAGGATGAGAATGTCTGTGAGAATTGTCTTACCTCTTGCTTCCCTAGTTTAATCCACTAAGTGGATTAAACTGCTGTGATACAACTGTCATTGGATAGTCGCAAGGACTCTTATGTCCTTTTCCATAGTGTAAGCAAGCTGAGCTATACACCCCTTGCACTGTAGGGAAAGCACCTTCCTTTTATAAAAGGGTTTATATGGTGAAATTTAATCACACAGCAAAGTAATAGACTGCTGAACCATGCAATGAGTGTCCTTCCCAACGCAATCTTTCCCCTTCGACAAAGTGAAACATTTTGGACTGAATTGTTATATACTTTAAAAAAAACCCACCCCCCATATATTCCTGGGGTGAACAAATAGCTCAGACTGTCTGGAATACACTGGGGACTGGCAGGCATCCTTTAGCTCAAGTGATGTCCCTGTATTAGTTGCTGCTGCACAGAATCTCTTTCCCCAGTTGTCTGCTGCTGACTAGAAACAGACCAAAAGCCGCACTCTCCTGGTCTACTTCATTTAACTGCAGGTTCCTCTAGTGTAAAGTGATTCTGTTCAGGGGCATTTGGATTTGGCTACTGCTTCTCTGCAGCTGTTAATCAGAGAAGAGGGAAAAGTAGTAAGGAGAAACGGGCAGCAGAGAATGGAAGAAGCAGAAATGAGTGATGGTTAAAAAAAGTTCCCTAACTTTGGCAGCCCACAACATGCTTGTAGTGCTATGGATGTAGACTGCTAACATTTAGAGATGGGCAACTCAATTTCCCTTTCAGCAGCTCCCAGTATATTACAGTCAACTGGCTCACTTGCAGCCAAATGCAATCTATAAAGATGTTTGGTTTCTGGAAGTGTAATATAACTAATTCCATTGTATAAGGTAAACTAAACAGGCAAATAGAGTCCTTGTGATAGACCAGACCTCCAATGAGATTAAAAGGACTTGGTTGATCTCATTTTGAGTGTTTCATGACCACTGTCCCACTGACTCAAACATCTCTCCCTGCTGGAGATGCTTAGCTCATTGGATTTGGGGTTAGAAATAGCTCAGAGCTAAGAATCAGGGATGACCACACTTAACTTCCAGAATCTCCTAACCCCAGATCTCAGAGATCCTATTAGTAAGGCTAGTAAAAGCTGCTTTTATTGTCTCAGACAGACAGAACTGGCCTTGCAGTGTGCTCCAGGGGTTAGGCTTATCTTGTTGGGTGTGATACTTTTTATGGTTTGGGTCGATACCAAATCTACAAATAAATATGGGTGGAGAGGTCTGTACTGTGTGCACTGATGCAGTATCTACCATTCTGTATGCGTCAGTGAGAGGAACTTGAACAATATAGAAAGAAAGAATGGTGCCTGCCATGTAGCCCAGCCATTTTTGTGCCTGTCTTTCTGCTTGACTTCTTTGCACTGTACTTTACGCACTTTATCGAGTGTTTGTTGCAATGTTGATAGTCCTTAACTTAGAATTCTAAGGATCTTTTTCTTACCAGCAGAACTGGAATTTTGGCCCTGACCCTAAAAAAACTTGTGTCACGAGTAGTGCAATTAGTGTTGGGCTTAAAACCCCTAAGCATAAAAATGGATTGAACACTAGTAGTTGAAAGAGCCATTTGTCTGTTAAGTTATAATCTGCTTACAATGAACAAAGGAGAATAAAGTACTATCAGCAAAGGTCACTTGCCCCAGTCCCTCTTTTGTGTATTGCTCTGTTCTTTACCTCTAGCATAGTTGGGTGGCCTCTGCCTCTTTAGCTTTTGTGTTTGTAACTAGTCTGGGTCTCCATCTGTTATGGAAAACACCTAGGACAGGGGTGGGCCACATCTGGGTATGGAAATTGTATGGCGGGCCATGAATGCTCATGAAATTGGGGGTTGGGGTGTGGATGAGGGCTCTGGCTGGAGGGTTGGGGGTGCAGGAGGGGGCTCTGGGCTGGGACCGAGGGGTTTGGAGGGTGGGAGGGGGATTGGGGTGTGGGAGCATATCAAGGGTGCAAGCTCCAAGCAGTGCTTACCTCAAGCAGCTCCCAGAAGCAGCATGTCCCCCATCAGGCTCCTATGCGGAAGCGCCGCCCTGTCCGCAGGCGCCGCCCTTGTAGCTCCCATTGGCTGCAGTTCCCAGCCAATGGGAGATGCGGGGGCAGCACCTGGGGCGGGGGGCGGCATGCAGAGCCCCCTGGCTGCCCCTATTCATAGGAGCCAGAGGGGGGACATGCCTCTACTTCTAGGAGCTGCACAGAGCCGGGCAAGCCCCTGCCCTCCCTCCCCCGGAGCACCAGAGCGGGGCAAGCCCCAGACCCCACTCCCCAGCACGAGCTCAAGGGTCGGATTAAAATGTCTACGCCGTAGTTTGCCCACCCCTGACCTAGGAAAAAGGCAGTGTAGGATTGTTCCCGAGTAGTGGAGTTCTAAGCCAGGGAACCAGTGCAGAATTGTTCTGTACGCTCTAATCTTCCTAACCTAGTCTAGGTTTAAATATCTCAATTAGTTGGGAGACTTGTTCCACAACCTAATAAATTTCACGATGAGGAAATATTTCCTAATATACAGCCTATATTTATTTAATTTCACTCCTACACTGTTCACATGAAACTAGTGCATGCCACTGCCACCCACTCAAGAACAACTTAAGTACATGAGAAGGAAGAGTAACAGCATAAAACAGGAATGATTTTATTTAGTAATGTAACAGTTGGAGGTAACTCAGTGGTGACTTGCAGGGTCAAGCCTCGCCGTAGAGAGCTGGTAGTGCTAACCTCATCAGGAACTAGGCATCTTCTTCTCAGAGCAAATACCATTCACTTGTGACTACACAGAGTACAGGACTGAATGTCTGGATTTCCTAATAGGTGGAAGGCAATCCTGCAAGCTGTGATACCCTGACTGCAGTGACATTTTAGCCATGTGATGCTTCCAGAAAAAAAATTCAAATGAAGTACAAAATATGCCATCTTATAGCCAAGCAGCTCAATTACCACACAGGGTGGGAAGAGTTTGGAGTCTGCCTGTCTGCAGCAATGACCAACTTTACTTGCAACATGTTGGTCACCCCTGTTGCAAAGGGCAAGTGCCACATGCCAGCCTTGGCTAGCCTCTCCCTAGAACTACTGGGCAGGCAAACTTAATGCCAATGTAAACTAGAGTCTACTCTCGCCTTCTTGCCCCATTGCTAATGTGGCCATTGCTGTCTCACTATGGATGATCCCTGCCTTTGTCTGCTCTACTGTACATATGGCTGCGATTCCAATATCCTCCATCAGGACAGCAAACGTGGCAATGATGTATCTGCCACAGCTTGAATCACTCTGCTAAGTAGAGGGCAGGCTCTGTTACTTACTACCCTATACACAACTCACACGTCTCAGCTCACTCTCTACTGGCAGCTCTCCCCTCTCTTTCCCCCCCCCCCCTCAGAATTCCAAAACCTACAAGGTACATGTGGCTTTTATTATGACAAATTTAAGACTTCAGCATTGATGAGAAGATGTAAAGGGCCAGGTATTTCTTAATAAGCCTGCTCTAGGCTTCCTTCTACTATGTAAAAGGTAATCAGATGGGCTGCCCCATGTGGTGCTTGTCTGACAACCTAGGTTGCAAAGAGCTGCAGAAGCTGTGCCCTTCTGCTTAAGGGCATGGCTTGCTTAGTACAAGTACCCTCTTCTATTCTGTTTATGCAGTGCCTAGCACAAAGTGGCCCTCAAGCCTGGTTGGGGCAACAAGGGCTACTGAAGTACAACTGATTAACAATCTCGAGGGGCAAGAGGGGCCTCAGCATAGATCACCTGAGACTTGCTCCTGTGAGCTGGGGCTTGCTGCAGCTTTAGGATCCCCTCCCAAGCAGTGGAGCAGAGACAAGTGACTCAGTGGAGCATACATTGAAGGAAACCCTCAACCAGTCTGGTTACTACTGCTGCATAAAGATCCTTCCATAAGCATCAAGCAAAATTTCTAAATTGTCTTGTACAGAAACCTAACTGACCTAAAGCCTCCACTTCTATTGGGGAACCAGGGGAATAATGTGTTGTGGAATGGGAATGGAAGGCTGGGAGGGGAAACGATAAGCCCTGAGTCCCTGCACTTTGCCCTGAGCCTCCAGTTAGGAAAGGGGGATGAGTGGGGCAGTAATCTCACCTTTTCTTTTAAAACATAACACATCACAGAAGTTCAAGGGCAGTTGTGTCTATAAAGTCACTGGTAAAGCCGCAGCAAGTGCCAGGCAGTGGGCTGGCTGTATGGTTGCTTGTGTTCCTCTGCCCAAGCAAAGAGCTCCTTCAGAACATCAAATCCAGGCTTATCTCACTATAGCTCAGGGGTTTCCACCGTTCAGTCCCACTGGATGCCCAGCAGCTCGCAACTGACATTCCAAAGCTTCTTTGCCAGCTCATCACTCCGGCCTTGAGGGGACACATAGGCTGGCCGGCAGTCACTGCAGAAGGAAAGAAGAGACTTTCATCAGGTGCCCTGGCTGCATTAGCACAGGTAAAAGGTCCAGTTAAAATGCATGGAGACACTAGCTGATGATGATGTCCAGCTTAACTCCTTCAAGCTGGATTTAAAAATAAGAGGGGGAGAGGAGAACTGGTAGCATTGCTCAGGGTGGGGGTAGGGGGGCAGAGGGAACGTGTGGAGGCAGCTGGCAGCCAGGCCACCATACTGCTGCACCTAGTGAAGATGCAGGCTTCAGCATAGGTAGGGGTAGTGGAAAAGAGAGCTGGTACATAAGGGACCACCACTGTAACCCTTGGAGTTCCAAGCTGTGCCTGCTAGTGTCTGGTTTATTACAAAGGTTACAGCAATGGCCCAAATGCCATAGTTCACGGAAGCCTTTGGGACATGACTATAAAAATAACATGCTATCAGGAAAGCACCTGAGAACTTGACCTTTCATTTTGTATGTTTATAAAGCAACTTGTACCTGTGTGGGCCACATAAATAACCAGCGTGGCTGCCTCGCAGGCAGTTATCATAAGAAAGGGGAATGATGCTGCCCCCTCATCAAGAGGTACAGCTGTGGAATAAGCTGCAGCAGAGCTTGGAGAAAAGATTCCCCCCCTCCCCGCAGATGTCAACTGCAATAAACAAATATTTAAACACAATTCTTCAGCATGGTTGTCTGAGAAGCCAACAGCAGAAGGTGTAGGAGGGCTGTAACGTAAAGGTGGAGGTTACTTGAACCGTACTGGGTTCCCACTTAATGGCAGGAGTTAACTTACTACCCAATCATTCTGTTTATAAAGAGATGGTACATACAAACTGATTTCACTAAACAAGGTAGTTCCATATTTTATACATTCCAAACTCCTCCCAAAGACCAGCTTTTCCACTGACACCCACAGAGTCAGACATTCCTTTATTTTAAAAACCCTACCCTTGTCTTCTCTCCCACGGTATGCACATGCCTTTGGTGAATAGCTAGTCATCTTAGTGCTACTGCCCCTGCTCCTCCACCCCCACCCCCTTCCATTTTATTACATAACATCTGATATCAGATTGTGAATTCTTTGGCGCTGGGTCTGTATGCTCTCAGCTGTACTACTGGGTATGGTAACATAATAAACTGAAGTTGTAGTAAGGGAAGGAAAATTCACGACCTGTTCAAGATTTCCAAGCATGCTAGAACCTGCTCATGATGCTTGAGCAAGCTGAGTGCCTCGGAATATAGGGAATGCTGATGTGCAGTCCAGGGGGAAAAAAATCTGGTAGCAGCAGTCACATTGCCATTACCTACGTATGCTTGATTAAAGGAAAAATGCAGTTTACTATTGCCCTAAGTGTCTGAGACAAAAATTCACTTAAGACTAAAAGATAAGAAAATACAAAGCAGCATTAAAAAAAATGCCTAAATTTTTCAAGAGTTCCATTGATAAGGAGCTTGCCATTTTAGCAATGAAAACAACAGGAAAGGCAGCCTAGAGATATGGATCAGGGCAGGAAGATCAGAACTGCAGTCAGAGACACTGATCAGCATGTGCTTTCCACAGCTCTTTTGTGGCACAGAGCTGTACCCACTAATCTAAACAAACAGGAGATGAACAAAATGTGCCTAAGAAGAGCTGTGGCAGTCTCCAGCTGTATCTCTTCTCCACCTGTTTTGCTATAGGACATCAGCTTCTGCTACAGCTGCTTTCTTCTTCATCACTTCCTAGTCATATAAAGGCCATTTTAAAGAAGTATTAGTGATTGTCACGATTTACATTCAATTAAGTGACAGGATTTGGACACAGTTCTATTTCAGAGACAGTCCAATATAAATCTGGGCACTCACACTCAAGCTGCTATTTGCTAACCATTTCTCCACTGAGTTCATGCTTGCTTCTTTTACAAACCTGAAATCCACTTAGAGTTCACATGCTCCAGCACATGGGACAGCTGAGATTCACAAAGGCTGCTTTTATCTACTGGGAGATGGAAGCACTTGAGAGAGGATTAGGGGACCTATTTCTATAGCCAAGGCAGATTAAGATGGTACAAACTCTGTACTTGAAGATCAGACACAAAGGCGTATCCTGGAATAATCTTGTGGTTCAATCACAAGGGAGAAAATTGAGTTTCTAGTTTCAGATATGAAGGAGGGAGTTTTATCTCGTGTCAACTGCATTCATGTAAAATCAAAGGGCAATTTCCATATCGAATTCCCAAATGTGAGGTGGTCACAGTGAAGTGATCAAGGCAGAAAGCAGCACCGAATGTAACTGTCCAAGAGTTACATGTGGATCACTTGGTTAAGCCATCCTAAGCTGTGTTTTTGGAAGAGATAAGAAGATGGTTATGCAGGTCACAAGATAGCTCAACTGAGATCAGTAGCAAAATGGAGCTGGACTGAATGAAAGAGAAGAGCCATGGAAGCCATTTTGCAGAATGAACTGCATTGCATGCACAGACATGCAGGGATCTCCTTTCCTGAAGCGTCCTGCAATGTGTGCAGCTTCAGGATGTGCCATGCTTTGGAGAATCAGGCCACATATGGAGGTATTTAACTTGAGACACAGTTTTGAAAATCTTGAGCTCTGCTTGCACAACACCTAGCACATTTGCTACTGCCTTATAATCTGAGGACTTCCAAGCACTTTACAAACATTATTGAACCAAGTGTCCTAACCCCACTGAGATGCAGGTACTATCATCCTTTTGCAGATGGGGGGAAACTGCAAAGAGGACCAAATTCATCCCTGGTGTGACTCAATTGAATTCAGTGAAGATACAGCAGGGCTGATTTGGGCCAGAGAAGTTAAGTGACTTCCCAAGCATTCAATACAAGTCTGTGGCAGAGTAGGAATAGAACCCAGAGTCTGTGACAGCCCATCTGCGGCACCTGGCGCCCCTCTGGGGCACCTGGCATTGGCCACTGTTGGAAGACAGGATACTGGGCTAGATGGACCTTTGGTCTGACCCAGTATGGCCGTTCTTATGTTTATCTTGTGCTTTAAGCATGAGCCCATTCAAAGACTACAGGACTGGGTATAATCTAAAGCATTATACAGGTAAAGAATTCCTTGCAAATATGACTTTTATCTTTGTGTCCCTTTCCACGAGCAACCCCTTTCCAATCCAACATGTTCAGATTCTTGTAACTGGTACAAATTCTAAACATATTTCTAACATTTCTCCCTTCAGATCTGTGTAAGCCTCAGTACAGTCCCCTCTCAGGCAAAGATTATAGCCTTACCTCGCCCACACCTCTTATCCCCACACCCCAGAGACATCTGGGTTGCACCCTTCTGCCCCACCACAGCAGATCAAGGACTCTGCCCACCTGAAATATTGTCCAGTCACAGACTCCAGTTCCTCAGCCACTGCACAGTACACGCTGGTCTGGGCTCCTTCGCGTGGAGTCTTCAAGAAAAAAGAAAACGTCTTCCACAGCAGGGACATTAGAATCGAGTGCCGGACCAATTCGGAATAAACAGAGCCTGGATGCAGCGAGTTTGCAGTGACTCCAGTGCCTACAGCAAGAGGGACAACAAGGAGCATTTATCAAATTAGACCCTGCCTACATGCACTAGAGCCTCCTTAGAAGGAAGGCATTAACAGCCTTCCTGTTTTGCCCCAGTATCTAACATGTTAAAGAAACAAAGGTCCAGATGCAGATATAGTGGGACAAATTGAACTCCCTTACACTTGCTTGCTGGAAAACTGGACAACATCTCATCCCAATTATGAACGCTGCACCATTTTAGTCATTAGGCCTTTTACAAAGCAGCCTAGCAAAAACATTAGAGGCTTGCCCACTGCTTTGTAAAGTACAGACAGGGCCGGCTCTGGCTTTTTTGCCGCCCCAGGCGAAAAAGCCTCCGGCCGCCCCCCCTTCTCCCCCCCACGGGGGGAGGGCGGCCGGAGCCCTGGGAGGAGGGCGGCGAGCCCCGGCGGGGGCTCGGCTCTCCTCCCGGTGACCAG